TTTTTTTTTTTAGTAACCATACTTCTCATTGTTTGGGAGTGGATACACAAAGTAATAGCAAAATTGCAGCTCACGAATAAGAATTTTGGCTTACTGAACTACTGAATTACCAGTCGACGCAAGACAAAATGTGTAAATCACGGTGCCAGCCTCTAACTCGATCGATGACAAACGTGACACCAGTGTTCGCCACTCCTACTGTAAAAGTCGAGGTACTCCTGCTTCTAAACGCCAAACCATGAAGGTGTAAAGAGCTTTGGGAGGTAATGTTCTGCGCATTGTGGACCCCGCTATTATTGACTGAGCGGTCAGCTTGACACTCCTATTGCGTTATTCCAGGGGCATCAACCCACGGTATTCACGTGATAAAGTGTACCGTAGAATGTCATCCTTGTGTGGCTTCGTTGGTATTCTTCCAGTTGCTCCAGGTGTATACAATCGAGAAATACCTAGATGAGCCGAACAACTGTTAGCTATCCGTATAACATGCCATGGAGGCCCATAGGGTTGTGAGACGTTGAGTGTCCCACATTATCTAGACAGTCGGCTCACAGATGGCGGTAAGGTTGTGAGCCTTACGTGCTGGCCGCCCTGTGCCCCTCAGGAAGATTCCTGATACTTATTTCTGTTAGAGGCTGTGTCGACCCCAGGGCCATAATGCGGCTGTAGGGATTAGGTCAATTGAAAAAAATACACCAGCGACCTTCCGGCTTGTAGCATAGGACCTCAACCCAACTACGCTCTCGCGTTCCCCCGAACAACTGTTAGGTTCCCGAAAAATATTGCCCTCCGCGAATTCACTGTCCTCATTGCCTATACCTGGGTCTGGAATTGATAGGTCGAGTATGGCTCATTCCACATTCTGTTAGAAGGCTTGTATTAAGACCTTGAGACCGCCAAAATGTACGGATCCTGTCGGAGTAAATAATTAAGAATTATGTTTCTTAATGTAGTGACAGTTTCTTTTCGTCAGTGCGAGTAATTGACACTAACGTATTTAGACATTTATTAGGTACAGCATTTTTCTTGAGAATCTCTCCAGCACGCAGTCACTTTGAAACGGAGATTCGACCGGCTCCAAGTAAAAAAAAAAACAGTTTCTCATTCATCCCACAGATAACTGGTGAAATTCCAGATTATCGAGTGACCTAATACGATCTCTTATCTTCGGTGGAGAAGTTGGATTAACGCTTCTATCGTCTGGAGTGTGACGCCCTGTAGTCTTGTAGGCGACTGCCGTCTTTCCGAAGGAACCGATACCTTCCACTTCAGAGAAAAAGGCCCTGCGAAACTTTAATCAACCAGGCTACATATCATCCCATCCCAGAAGACCAGTCATAATATTCACCGCTGTGAGAACCACAAACCTGAAGTCCGGCTTGTGTCTGTTACGTCATTACGCGAATTTCAGCACATTAGGATGCTGTGCTCGACCAGACAAGCATACTTTTCCGGCCTTGACAATCGGCCAGACCAGCAATCGATGTGGCAAGCTCATCTTCTGTGCATTCTTCAAGGAGAACAGGCCACATTGAGATGCGAGACAACATTCCCTTCATATGGACGGCCACTGTCGTGACAAAGCGTAATAACTGGATCTTCCGGAAGTTCAAGAAGATGCTGATGTGATGCTTCAGTGTTAAGCCGATGACGCACAAAGGCCGGTCTGCAAGGTGGGCAACCAGGACGCGAAACCATAGATCGTTTCAGTAGTGAAACAGGGCTACATCGAGCCCCAAAAATTGTTTTCTATATCGAAAGTGACATCCCATTGATTAACTAATTATAAAATACATAATGAAATTTGATGTGAAGATGAAATTTAATTTGAAAGTTAAAAGTTATGCGATAGTTTGGGTTTCCCCACCTTAGGGTGGGGTGAGACCACTTGGTATGTCAGTCACTGTTTGACCTATTTTACCAGCCCCGGATGATAGATGATGATGAATGTGGAAGCAGTCAGCAGAAAGAGAAGTGGCAGGGGAAACCGAAGTACTCGTAGAAAACCTGCCCCAGTGGCACTTCATCCACCACAAATCGCACATGCCCTGATCTGAGCTCGAACCTGGGCCACCGCGGTGAGAAGCCGGCGGCTAACCACCTGAGCTATGGCACGGCCAAGGTTTTATTTTATTTCCTTTCCTTTTTTTTATTGGTTATTTAATGACGTCAGTGTCGAAACTGCATAGGGTTTGTTGTGCTTAAGCACCACGACATTTTAACAGGCAAGTGGGAGTGGAGCTAGTATTCTTAACATCTGTATTAGATAGAACAATGTGTTAGTTTGACATTCTAGCTGCTTGAGCCCCAGGAAAGGTCCAGTTCCCATGTACGGCAGATTGAGTAGGCTTCAGAGCTGGTCTGTGTGTGTTGGCAATGAGGAAAATCCCTGTTCCTGCCAGAGATTGATTCCCAGTCAAGCAGCCCATATCCATTCACCTTATTGGTTGAAGTGATAGAAATAAAAAAAATAGCTTCGGTAGAAAAACTCATCCTGTTTGATACCTGTTTTGCTTCAGAATCTTCAGTCTGTAGGTTGCGGCTAACAAGAACTGCTATGTATTCATAATTATACATTTTAATTGTACCTTTCTTATCACACGATTTTCACTTCAGCAGATTCTGGTTACTTTGTTGGTCTTAACCTTAAAGTTTTGGACCATTGTTCTATTTTTAATTGTTAACATATATGAAGTGTTTAACACAGAATTTGTAAGGAATATTTAATATGTTACAAAATATTCAAGTGATGCATTAATTATCATATGACAGGATCATTTGTCATCTATTACCACTTTCTGTCTTGAAATCACTTACCTCGTGCAGAGAATCTGTGTTGTATTCATTGTACCCACTCTTTGATAGTCAGTATCTTTGGAACAAAATGACATGTAGTTACAATTCTTGCGCGGAGAGAGAGTCATTGTATGTGTTCGAAGTGACCACCATCAGTAGCTAAACAGTGTTGATGCTGCCGAACTGCTGAGCGAACTATGGCTGTCAGTGTGTCTGGTGTGATGGCTGCACATGACGCTTCGATGGTTTCTTGTAGCGCGTTCAGTGTAGCTGGCTTTTGTTGATAAACTTCATCCTTCAAGGTTCCCTGTAGGTAGAAGTCGAGAGGTATTAGGTCTGGAGACCGTGGTGGGTACTCAGTAGCACCTCTTTGACCTATCCATCGTCCAATTAGAGTGTCATGCAAGTACACCCTGACATCTCGATGGTAGTAAGGTGGAGCACCATCTTGTATGTAAAATCTCTCATCTCCAAACAGCTCTCAAATAGCAGGGAAAATCGAGATACACCTGACCAGTTACGGTACATTTTTTGGACCCCCCCTGTAGTTGCTGTTAATATTCTGTAAATGCCAGTGTCGTTTTTCTCCAGTTTAATCAAAAATGTAATGTTTATTCTCTGTCACAACAGTTTATTGCCTATATTTTTGTCAAGAAGAGTGTGCCAATAAAACTGTTATTGTATGGACAAAGAAATTATCCCCTACTGCTTAGCACCAAACTACAATAGCAGGTCATTCTAAAATGCTGATAACATTCTGGCAGACTACATGGAGTCATATCCCTGAAGACCGTAACCTTAGTAGTTTATGTTTGTATGTATGTGTGTAAGGGGTGGGCCAAAAAACCGGCCCTTGCACTGCGACCTTCAGTGATCTATTGTGCTTCCCCTTTGGATTAACCTTTTATTATTCCTACACTTCAAATGCAATGTAGGACTTTATTTATGTGTGCATCATAATAGTCACTTGGTTCCATGAAGAACTGACCCAGGTGATGAACTCATAAATAAGCTATGGCCTCACAATCACATAGGGTGTGTGTGGCTGATTCATCTTCTTGTAGGCATATTTCACAGGTTGGGTCATCTGTCAGTCCCAGTTTGAAAAGGTGTACTTTTAGGTGGCAGTGTCCATAGTAGTTTAGGTTGATCAGAGGTCAGGAATTTCTATCTTTGAGGCCTTATATCTAGAAGGCGGAAGCCGAGGTTCCTCCAAAACATTGGTAACTTTCTGCTGGAAGACAGTGGTGTTTTGTAGAATAGGCTGACAAGATCTGAAATTTCATAACAGTTTAGGATTTTCCACCATCTTAAATTTTGATCATCATTAAATGAAAACAGTGTCAGGTCTTGTTTTAAAATCTGTTCACATTCAGGGATAATACAGTCAGTATAAAGACTTACAGCAGGCTTCACTACTGGGCTGTGACACCCAGGAGGGTAGAAATTATACTCTTATCCATCATGTTCAGACCAGCTCTGGAGCCCACACAGCATCCTCTGTGATAGGTACCAGGAGCTCTTTCCCCAAGGGCATAGCAGATGGGGCTTGAAGTTTACCATTCATCTCCAGCTGGGGTTGAGGTTATACCGCAATCACCTAGCTCTTGCCACTAAGGCAAGAAGAGTCACTCTACAGTTGAGAAGATAGAGGCAGCAGGCTTCTACAAACATTAGTACCTGTTTCAAACTACACTTAGCATCATATCTCAGAAGACCATAATCTTAATACATACTTCTATGAGAACCTCAGAGATCATATCATTTACTACTGTTCACATAGGTCACCATGACAATTCACTGATGGTCACTGATATTATGTATTATTATATTGCTAGTGGGGTGGGACTAAGTCCCTTATACTGCGGCCACTTCTGGCCTATTGTACCAGCCCCAGATGATAGGTGAGGGTGATTGTGGAGCAACTGGTGGAATGAAGATTGGCAGGGGAAACCGAAGTACTCGGAGAAAACCTCCCCCAGCGCCACTTTGTCCACCACAAATCCCACTTGACCAGACCCGGGATCGACCCCAGGCCTCCACAGTGAGAAGCCAGTGACTAACCGCTTCAGCTATGGCGTAGCCATGATAGTCAATGATACTACCTCAGCTGTTAATATAGCATAGCTTTGATATGAACCATAATAATGAACAGTGTGAAGAATGGATGACAAAAATGAAACCTCACAATTTCTTTATTTCAGACTAAACATCACTTGGAGACACTCATAGATGAACTGAATGCTGGCCGACCTCAGTGCCCGGTGGGGCTGAACACTCTTGTGATTCCACGCAAGTTAACTCTGAGTATGAGTGATGAAACTGTGAATGCAAAGCAACAGCCATATGTGTACCTGAACTGTGGCCATGTCCAGGGCCACCATGACTGGGGGCAGGATAAGGACTCAAAGGACAGACGTTGTCCCATGTGTTTAGAGGTACTGCAGTCTCTCAAAATATGAATTGTTGTAAATTCTGGTATTCGCATACTGTATAAAACAGATTGCTCTTGTAATTAACAGCAATATTAACCAAATCCTCATACTAAGCACTATTAGCCAACTTAGAAGAGAATGTCACAGTAGTCATATTCTGTGAAGAAAATATTTTACCTGGCTATAATTTTGGTCTGAAATGTTGACATATCAGTATTCAATACTGTTGAAACCTAAAAGTGTGTTTGTTGTATGCGGTGGTGGTCTATACTGTATACTTCCTATCTGAAGATCAGTCAGTCAGTATTGAGGGGGGGGGGTTCCCCATGCACTTAGACCAATTATTGGTCCATTGTGTGTCCCCCTTTTAATTTCTACAGTCTCCATCCCCTACTGGTACTGGTGCTCGCTATTAGCCCCTTTCTGCCAGCGAGGTTCCGATCCTCTACTGGCAGTGGTATCTAATAGTTAGTCCCTTTCTGTCAGAGAGGTCGCCCCTCCTCTGGCAGTGGTACCTAATACTTCCCCATCTACCGGAGGCATTGGAAACTACTTGGGCGGGAAACTTTTGGCCAAATTTAGCTCAGAGGTCACCTAGAGACATCGGGTACCTTTACGTGCCGTAAAGCTACGACACGGGACCCACGGTTTTAAGTTCCTTCCGGAGGACTTGTTCCCTGAATTTTTCCGCCCTTAAAAATTCCACGACCTCTGCCGGGTTTGAACCCACTTACCTTGAGTCATGAGGTGGGAACGTTATCCCTAGACTACGGAGGCCGCTCCTATCTGAAGATGGTCTGGGCCTTGGGTTTGCCACTTAGGGCTGCCTTATCTCCAGTTACCTCTCTTTCAGTGCATCTGCTGCCCAGCTTTTGTCATCAGTTGTTTCAGACAATCTCAGGTTCTGCTGATGGACCTGTAAAGGACTGAACTGTTAAACACGGGATTAGAAGCTGGTGGATTGAACATCGTGTTACCTTTCTTAATTAAGAACCTGCCCTACTGATGGGAGTATATGTTACAGTCATTTAATTTAATTAAATGTGTTTCATCTTGATCAGTTATGACAAGTAATGGTTCCATACTTCATGACTGAACATATTGTGCCTTGATTAATATTGCTTGTCTTATAGTTACAGAAATAGAAGTCTTGAAGAATAAAGGTAAAACATTATGACTTCTTATTTTATGTTCCTTCTTTTTTGTCTAAAAATTGATGTACAAGCAATGTATTTATTTATGTCTTTATTTTGCAGATGGGACCTGTAGTAAAAATGTGCATGGGAATTGAACCAGCATTTTATGTAGATGCTGGACGTCCAACATTTGCTTTCAACCCTTGTGGTCACATGGCCACAGAGAAAACTGTGAAGTAAGTGGTGACTGCCCCATTGTTGTTCGTATTATTGTTTTAGATGTTGCTCATTATTGTAAATATAATAATTAATTAATATTTTCTTACCAGATATTGGGCCAACGTTGCAATTCCTCACGGCACCAATGGCTTCGATGCAGTATGTCCGTTCTGTGCTACACCATTATTTGGTTGTCCAGGCTATGTACGCCTTATCTTCCAGGATAATGTGGATTGAGAGCCAGACTGCATTGCCCATTTTGGGCCCATTTGACATTTGATCTAGACTCACACCACTTGGGTACATGAGCAGTTTTAATTTATTGCCTAATCTGGCATCACCAGTCCAGAAGAAATTGCATTGGAATGCCTTAACAAGACAGCCTATAATAGAAAACTAATGAAACATCATATGTCTGCCTTATTAGATTGATTTGAAAGGAGAAGCAAGATGTGAAGGCACAGTAGCTTATTTCATTTATCTGTAAAAGAATATATCATTTCACAGTGTACCTTATGTGCTCTAGAAACAGCATTAAAAGTATTTTGGTTATTACTTTCAGAAGTCTTCTTGTAATTAATGATGGCAGATTTGCAGTCATTCATAAATGGATTTGGTAAGACTGTTTAGATATTAAGAGAACTGAACAATATTAAGTGAACGAATTATAACAGAAATGTAGTGTTTTTATAAAATGATTGAGGTCACTATGTAGCAAGAATCAGGGATGAATTGTTGGTACAAAATCTCATACCTTAACATAACACATAGACCAGGTAAGTGTTTGTATTGGTGGTTCAGTGCTCATCCTTTGTGTGTGGTTTGGTGCTGGAATTGTGCTACATTCTATTTATCATGCAAATTGCAGTATGGGTTATTTATTTTCACGTGGAGAAGTAAACAAATTGTTTTACACATTTTTTTGCTTATTAAGCTGGCATCAAGACCATGACGTCTCAGCTTGACACTCAGTAGCAGTAGCTTTATCAGATAACAAGATTGAAATTGAGAAAATTCTCCAGGAGGCTAACAGTTTTAACCTAATGCATTAGAGAGTTTTAAGTTTCCGTTTGTTGTAGAACGGGGAAAATCTTGGAAGTTTCCAGTTCTTAATTTACATGTCCATCACTTTTCTGGTATTTGTTTCCGTGATCTTAGTTGCAGATGTTGTCTGTTTTAAAAATACACACTCTTCTATTGGTTGCATAATTAGAGTAGATCTTTTTTATTTCACATAAACATTGGTTTCTCTCAGGTTAATTCAGATATTTTCATGTATAAAACATCTTGATTTTTTGTTTTAGAGAAATAATGTCAGTGGCATAGCAGAAGTCATACATCTACATGGTATCAGAGTACTGTTATATCAAATTGTATGACCTAGAAAAACTTTTACATATAAAGGATCTGAGATTATGTTTAATAACCAGTGTTAGTGGACATGTAACAAGGAAGTGACTAGGAATGTGTGGGTGGTGAAACTTCCTGTAAATCTCGGTCATGACAAACTTACAAACAATTCAATTACAATTAGCATTTCCATATTTAGATAAAGACACCATGTTATAGTAGTCCTGCCATAAAATGGTGAGTTCACCCTAAAATGGAAATGTGGGTCTGATGAAACTGCTGTGAAAATGAGAATTTTGAGTGCTCTTACAAGGTACCAGTAAAGCACACCAGCTGTGTTGTTCAGACCAGTACAACTGTGTGCTACTATTCAAAGTCATGATGTGTCCTGATAATTATACAGGATGTCCCAGGAGGAATGTGCCAAACTTCAGGAAGGTGTTCCTTATGTTAAAGTATGCCGATATAACCCAAAACACCTATGTCCAAAGTTGAACGGTTATGGAAATAATGGCCAGAGAATTGTGAAACTTTGACCGGTGTTACACGCTTGTTGATTACAAAATACATATTAAAACTGGCAGGAATATGTGGTTTCTGTAATGTTAATAATGTACATAACATCTAACTAACTTGTGAGTGACATGAAGCCATTAAATTGAACTACAGAAAACTCGCACGCCATGTCAAAGTTGTCGTTAAAGAGTTCCAAGCACTGTACATGACACATGAATTGCAAGCGCTGACGTAACATTGCTGACTGCGCGTTCTGGTATGCGAGTGTATGGGGCTAACGTGAGCTGCCATCACCACACTCAAGGACAAACACAGATAAGAGTAGCCAGCTGACAGGTACAGTGCGTGGACCCACCAGAAGACCACACTTTTCTCTGGCCATTATCTTCGTAACCGTTCAACTTTGGACATAGGTGTTTTGGGTTATATCGGCATACTATAACATAAGGAACACCCTCCTGAAGTTTGGCACATTCCTCCTGGGACACCCTGTATATAAATATTTTTCCTATATTGAACACAGATTTGTTGAAAACTAAATGAAAATCCATATACCTATGTAGGATTTTGACATGAAACTTAATTTATGTTATTGCAATAGAAGTTTCCATTAGAAGAGACTGAAAGTGAACCTGGGTTAACTGTGAATCTCAAGGCTACAGATTCCTCTTAAAGGATCTGCTCCATATTTTTCTGTGGTTTTTACTGTTCTGTCTCTGAGAATGGATTTATTATTTTATAATGGATTTATTTATTAACACAGACACAGTGTCATGTAGGATTGAAGTAATTCAAATGAAGACTTAGGTGTCTTACATAGCTACAACAAGGAATGTAGCAAAATGGTGAAGACTTGTAGTAATTACCTATAGCAAGGACAGGATAAAATTGATGCTCAATGCCTGTGTTGAAAATAATCACAAGACATATGTGCCCAGATAATGAAACTGAAGTGACTTAACTGTAAAACTAAATGCAATGCATGTGACAGATTCATTAAACATGATATCGCATCTAGAACTTTTCTTGATCAATCGCTCTGTTAGTACCTGGAAATAGGGTTCATCTTCCATTGACACTGTTACACTCAATAGTATGATGTCTTGTGCTAAGCCACTCTAAGAGGCTGCTCAAGATGTTATCTTGTTCTGATGATTTGGCATTTGAATGGAGACTGTATTAGTGAAAGCACCACATAGTTAAGTAAGGTTTTGAATGGATTTTATAAAAATTAAAATAAGTCATTTGCATCACAAGTGTAGACATATATATTGCACATGTCTAGAAATTAAAAAAAAAAATGAAGGGTGTGTGTATATGAATTTTGGTATTCCATCTCAGTTGTTTCACATATTGACTGGTTTATACCACTATTTTTCACACAGCTGATAAAAACACTGTTCAGCTGTGAGGTGAATTGTAGTCCTTAATAAGAGAGATAAGGGGCAGAAGAGTGAGGATTTTATGAAGCTGCCATATTAAGTTAAAGAGCAATTAAACTGAGGATAATTGAATTTTTGGCTACTTATTGTATGGTTTTATAAATAATATTGAATGTATAAGCATCGGTAAAATTTTAACATGTTTTCATTGTAAAATAATCGATTTCCTGTTGTGAGCAGAACAGATCTGTTTGTAGTGTATGTCCCAAGTCTTACTCCTGGTGGTAAGCCATACCATTAGACTTGGAATGTAGGGCAGTGATGTCATACTACAGCTGCCGCACGCAGAGATGTCAGAAGTGGGAGTGAAGGCACCATACACATTTCACACACTTGTGACACTCTTTGACTGAATGGTGGTGCAGGTCTGGTTCAAAATGTGGCCAGTTCCTGTGGAATTATAGCAGCTGAAACTTTGTTGGGTTTTCATTGGAGTCTTCATTCTTTGACATTTATTTCCATCATACCCTTTATCATTCACCTTTCATAACCTTTATTATTGACATAACACTAGTTGGTAGAATGGTGTTAATGTCTTACCAGTCAGCCCATGCGTCTTAGTCTCACTGTAAGTTGAAGCTCATGGTAAAGCAGGGTATATTTTTATTGTGTATGGAAAATTTAAAAAGTTACACTTTGATCCCCCATGCATTCCTTTAGAAAGTACAGTAAAAGGAATTTGTCAATTATTGCATCTATACAGTAAGGGTTAAATAATTAAAAAGCAACAAACTTAGTTAAATTGTAATAAAGGTAGGAGTATAGAACTGGAGTAAGTACAGTAAAACTTAAAGAGAACTGAGGAAAGTAATCATCTTGACTGTGATATTAACTGACAGTGCAATATTAATTCTTTTTATAATTAAACGTTTTGTGTGAAGCAACAGGCAAAAGATGTATTTTTCCCATGTACCTACTGGAAGGCTTGTACACAATTACACTTTCCAGAAAGTAGTGAAATATTGCTAAAATATTAAGATATAAGTCTTTTAAATTTCATTGGACTGATAAATAAGTCACGTGTGGACAGTCTTTCAGTGCGCAGTGATCTCCAGTAAAAGGTTTCTGTTATCTTCATTAGTTTTTAATTGTGCCATAGAACATTTATTCAGAAAAACACAAGGGAGAGTTTTACCAAATGCCTGAATCAGATACTTATATATGTGGAAACTTCCCAAAGTACAATGAAAGATATGATAAAATCTATTAAGAAGCAGTAAAGGAAACTGAAAATAGGTAGCCCATGTGCCCATTCTCCATGCTAGAAAAGCATGCAAGGATGTGAAGTTTTACTGTACATATTTACAACCTCACAAGGGAGTGGGTACAAGTGGTCTGCTTTACACGACAGCTTTACGTCCAGGGGTTAAATAAAATATAGGTAAACCTAAATTATGATAATTCCTTGTATTTAAAACCAATAACAAGTCATGAGGTAATCCATGCTATGCTTGTTGAAAATGTGTCAGAATTCAAATATGAGATTACATTTGAAATATGTGGCAAGTAATGAGGTAACAAATAGTATAAAAAGTAAAAAGGTAAAATTGTCCCTGTGTATAATTAATTAAGTACCACGCCATATGATATGGGGAGTGGGAATGAACGTATATCTCCACCATTTATGACCTCAGTGCCAGATGAGGGTGAGTGGTTAGCTTCATGCCCTGGCAGCATAATTCCTGGTGAAAGAACCAATTGTACGTTGTGCGTTCAAGTTCTAAGGTCTCCGATTTTTTTTCTCACACAATAATCATACAAAAAATTTGAAACTTCTGTCACTTTTCAACAATCTCCCTGCAGCTGCACGCATTTTTCACAACGTCGACGCCATGATTCCATGGCCGCTGCGAACGCTTCTGTAGGGGTCTGTTTTGACCACTGGAAAATTGCTGATGCAATAGCGGATTGAAAAACGGCATCCATGTCTCATCCATTATCATAGTTGATGAAAAGGAAGTCCCATTCACGCCTTCATCACGTGTCAACATCGCCTGGCAAATTGCCATGCGGGTAGCCTCGTGGTCATCCGCCAGAATTCGTGGCACCCACCTGGAGGAAATCCGCGTTCGCAGGTCTTCATGCAGGATTTTGTGCACAGATCCCACGGAGATGCCAACTTTGGGGGCGATGTTTTCCACACTCAATCGGCAATCCTCCAAAACAACTTTCTCAACTCGCTCGACCATGTTGTCAGACCGGCTGGTGAGAGGCCGGGATTGTTTTCGTTCGTTGTCACACGACGTTCGGCCTTCTTTGAACTGTCGCGCCCACGAACGCACATTTTTCACATTCATGACACCATCACCACACGTCTCACTCAACTGGCGATGAATTTCAATGGGTGTCGCACCACGCAAGTGGAGAAAACGAATGATTACTCGCTGTTCTTGTAACGAAAACGTCGCCATTTTAATTATCAAAAACACTCGCCACTACCACTAGAGTTGTATGTGCTGTAGAGTTCTGCCATCTCTGTCACGCATTCACAAAGAGTTCACATGTATTTTAAACTAAACCGCATGTGTCTATCTGCTCCCAGTCCTGAGAAAAAAAATCGGAGACCTTAGAACTTGAACGCCCCTCGTACCCATTGGATAGGAGGCTGGGTGGGTCCC